AAAGGGAGGAGGTGCGGCTGATGTGCTGGTTTTGCAAATCAAAGGATTATGGAGTATATTTCTTTTGTTTCTTCATGCGTCACTCCACTAACTCCTTTCTATCTTTCTTTCTTTTTTTTCTTTAATTCATGGAGATCCACACACTTGCTGCTGGCCTGCTGCTGCATTGCTGCCACACTTGGCCGGCCAGCCAGGTTGCGCCACGTGGCAGCACCTGGTTGGATGGATTTTAATCCGGTCCGGAAATATTTTCTAAAAATACAGTCTTGCTCAAAATTTTATTCTGAACAACTTTTCCTTCTGTGTCGACTTCAAATTTCGAACCAATTTGGGTCAAACAAATTATTTTTGAATCAAATCAACTTTTTTTACATTTTTCTTTCAAAACAATTTCTTTTTGGTTCTTTTTCAATCCGTTTGACCTCAAATCTATTGACGGGGTGCATCGCCACATTTGAATGCACATTTTTCACTTCAAGGATTTTCGCCATCTTTTGCTCCTTTGCTCCGTTGCATTCCATTTGCACAATCTTTTACCTTTTTGTACCACTTTTGACTCAATTTTTATTCTTTTTACAACAAGACATAACTTTTGTGCACTTTTACAATTATGAATAAAAGATATAAAAACCATTGAGAAATTGATTTGTTTAATCCAAAATTGGACCACAACACATTAAATATAGAGAAGATAAGTGCGTACAAAACGGACTTATCACATGCACTTTTTGGCGATACATTATGGCAAACGGCCCCGACTCCGGACAATGAGTCTGGGGGACTCGAAGAGCGCCTCTTCCGAGTTCACACAGTTTCTTTACTCAAAGACCTCACACCCTTTTTCAATGTCTCTTGATTCACCTTGTGGGACGAGATGTACTCTTTTCTTGACCGAGGATTTTTTCCCATCCTCATGGGTTTTTTCCTCGGCAAGTTTTTAATGAGGCATCCCCCATAGAATGAGCCACACATTGACGGGGTTTGGAGAGGATCCTTGAAGACGACAGATGGACTGTAGATGACGACTCCATCACCCACTCTTGTGATCGTTGTGCACTGAACAACGAACAAACGATGCCCTTTGTATAAGAGCAGCTCATTTCAAGACAATGAGCAGATTGGCGCAAACCTTTCTACTTTGCTGCTCCGAACAGCGAGTCGGCAGTGCACTCCATGCCGATGGGTGCACATTCTTTCACCTCGCCTTACTCCGGACAGCGAGTTGGCATCGCCTTTCATGCTCATTGCTACGATTTCTTTCACTCTGCCACTCCGGACAGCGAGTCGGCAGCGCACATCTTGCTCAGTGCTACGATTTCTTTTACCTTGCCACTCCGGACAGCGAGTTGGCATCTCCTTTCATGCTCATTGCTACAACTTATTTCACTTTGCCACTCCGGACAGCGAGTTGGCAGTGCACTTCATGCTGATTGCTTCTACTTCTTTCCCATTGTCACTCTGGACAGCGAGTCGGCAGAGCACCTCGTATCCATGGGTGCAGATTCTTTCACCTCGCCTTACTATGGACAGCGAGTTGGCATTACATTTCTGACCTATGGCGTTGTTTGCCTTACTTCACCGTGCTCGGGACAGCGAGTTGGCGGTGCACTCTAGACAGCAAGGAAGACGGTGTCCTTCCGTGGTGGATTTTTGCTCTACTTCCACTTCACCTCGAGTTCCTCTCGGCTTGGAAAGTGGGGGACTCATGATGGATACCCTGGACATGGGGTATCCGGACTTTGTATAATATTAGTTGGGGCGGTCCAGTCTGTTGGACCGGCCCGTTAGTCATTTATTAATTATTTATTTATGGGCGGCCCGGTCGGTTGGGCCGGCCCATTAGTCGCATATTTGTTATTTAGGGCGGCCCAGTCTGTTGGGCCGGCCCATTACTTCGAAACCCTAGCCCTGATTCCACCCTTATTTATACTCCTCTTCTTGGAAGAGGGGAAGGGGGGAAGGAGGGAGGCTCAACATACACTCACACTATTCATCTTCTTCTCCATACACTTCTCCTTCTTTCCTACCCTTGGATTCCATAATCCAACAGAATTAGTGACTGTGATACCGTAATTAGAGATTTGTTATTTGAAAATACTTCGTAAAGACATAAAAACAAATCCAAACATCCATATTTTATACTTCAATAATTAGTATAGTAGCTCATTACTAAAGTAATGAGCTACTAAAGTATTTCATACATCTAAAAATCAAACTTAGACATGTTGTTAATCTTACCATGATGTCATCATATTGTCCTAACATCATACTCGTAATACTATTACTACATACCTCTTACTCTCTTAGAAACATATTTACCATTACACATCATTATACTACAAGATCAAAATATATCACCATTGTGCTATGTTGAGTTTTTAAATAAAAAATGCACTTTATTAATGTTGGGACTATAGACCGGATTAGATTGCACTATGGACTGAAACGAATGGGACCAGTGGTCTTAAATGGTCTTTGTTTTTATTACGAACACCAGAATGTTTAAGATCGATTTTTTAAAAAGACTAGTCTGGTCTAATTTTCTATTATAGTGATATTCTCAAAAGACAGAACGAGTCTGTCGGTCCGGTCCTTTTACTCTTCTCTAGCAGGAGAGGATTTCGTACGCCAAAGATTTGGACCTGCCAGATTGGGCTGCCAAAAAGTGGAGGTGCAAGTGTGCAACATGAAAAATACATTAATCACACTCGCTAAAAGATTAATGGCACATTTGGTGAGTTTTGGATATATGATATGATATTTGTTTTGAAATTTGAAAGAAATGATATGAATTTTAAAATTAGAAACGAAGTTGTCTAGATACATTTAAAATCATAAGTTAATTAAAGATTGGCGGTGGCCGACAACGAGGGTGGTCCAAGAGCAACAAATTAGGTTGGTGAATATGTTGATGATGTTAAAAATCACGGGAGGTGTCAGGTTGTTCCATCATGTCTGATACGTGAACTGGCCTTAAAGGAAGATGTTTTATTAATTTTATTACATCTTGTCCTAATGGTTAAAATTTTCTAAAATCAGTTGAGATTTTTGTAGAAAAGAAAATCAAACTATTTTTAAGTCGATTGTATTCAAATGTCATTGATATGGTAGGGCCTCAACATGTAGTTCAATTCATCACCGATAATGGTTCAAACTTTGTATCTGCTGAGAATATGATTGTGCAAAAGTATACTATGATTTCCTACAAAATGTTGATGGTGACAGATCTACTTCCGAATGTTTATACCAACCAATATAGCTGGCCAATGATGAACTCAAGAAAAAGTTGAAAAAGTAGAGACAAATATGAGAAACTACTGACATTATTTGATATAAGAAGCAATGAAAATATCATCGATCATATTCATGCATTTATCGGTACTCTCGACCCATCTGTCTTTAGTAATACAAGCTTTAAGTAAACTATGGAGATGAAAAAAGGTATGTTTTCTTTGCTTGAAAAAGTTCTACACCTTTTTGATAGGAAGGTGTTTACAACACAATATCGAGATTATACAATGAAGTCTTCCTCTGTGTTCAATGATGACACATACAAATGATGAAGTCATATTATCCTCGTAAGTGATTTAATTTTTTTAATTTTTAATATAATATCAAGATTATATTATGAAGCATCCCTCTCATATTGTGCTTCATTGCTTATAATATCGTTTTTTTAAATTTGAACTAAGTTACAGAAGTTTACTTCAATTTTATTGCCTTAAAGTTACATTGAAAAAAAGTAGTACATTAATTGATGCATTAGAGATGATGTCTCTTACAAATTTGCATATAATTATTTTTAATCATTCCTAGATAATCTATCAACTTTTTAATACCACCAAATTTGAAAAGATTTATTGAAATCTGAACTGAATACATCTGAATTTAAAATGATTTTTTAAAATATTAATTAAATACCACTGACTTTGAAAATAAAATGTTTTTATCAAAATCCTAATTGAATACACTCCTTAAATTTTATAAGTCTTACCCCCTCCGTCCCCAAATAAACTTCCCCTTTTGTTTTTTCTTTGTCCCGAGATAAACTTCTCTTTTCCCTTAAAAAACCCCTTTTACCCTTTACTTTTTCATACCCTACCTATCACATCATACTCCCTACGTCCCTGAAAACCTTTCTCCTTTCTTTTTTCATCCGTCCCAAAAAACACTTCTCATTTCTATTAAAAAGTCACTTTTATCCCTTCAAAATCAAAACTCCCATGTTTTCTGGGACGGAGGGAGTACCTTTTTACTAATAATCTACATATCACATCTTACTTTTACACATCACATTAAGGGTATTTTTGGAAAGTCAATACAAAAATATCCCTCCCTTAAATCCTCAAAAAGTCAAAAAAGGAAGTTTATTTGGAGACGGGGGAGTATAAAACTAAGTAATTGGACCCCTACATGTTTTTGGGCCTCGGCCCGCAAGAACAATCTAACAAATAGCAACACATGGATCCGCCTCACCCATAAGTGTGAGGATTCTAAAATATTGGGGTTACCAAGTAATTAACAGAAAAGTTTATCTTCCCTTTATCCTCTCTGCAAAAGAAAAGGAACTTGAACCCTACACACACCCTTGCGACTCATACCGGTGCCTTCCCTACTCCAACACTGCTCCGTGTGAAATTCTACAGTTGATCGAGAAAACCAGGAGCGAGATGTCGTCTATGCTCGTAAGTGTTCTTTGTTTGTTCTGTTTTCTCCCAATCTGGCGCCATCCCATTTCGTTTGTTGAATTTCTTCTTTTCCCTTGGTTACTCATACGGTAATGTGAAAGGACACTGTGACACACGAAATTTGCTAAATGTTGGTGTGTGGAACTTCTGGAAGTATTTTAAAAACAAATTTGCTTCTGAGGCTTGTTTAGTAATGCTTTACTCTTTAATTTTGGTGTGTCCACTCTACAGCAACCGCAAATCATATTGCTCAAAGAAGGGACTGATACCTCTCAAGGGAAGGCACAATTAGTAAGCAACATAAATGCATGTACGGCTGTGGCAGATGTGGTGAGAACCACACTTGGTCCTAGGGGTATGGACAAGTTGATCCACGATGACAAGGGAAACACCACAATCTCAAATGATGGTGCTACCATCATGAAGCTTCTCGACATTGTTCACCCTGCTGCAAAAATACTTGTTGACATTGCCAAATCTCAGGATTCTGAGGTATTATTTTATTTTACTAGTTGCTAGTTTTGCTTTAGCCATTGCATGCATTCGGTGTATCCCATCCTTGCTTATAGCACAAGGGAAGCAAGTTTCGTTTCTGAAATCTTAAACCAGTCATGGTATCCCGGTTTAATTTCCCCTGATGTGCCCAAAGCCATACCTATGGCTCAGAGTCATGGCCTTCACATTGTGACGGCAATAGAAGTGTTGCTTTCCTTATTTTATTTTAAGTAAATATTTCTGTTTTTAAAGGTGGGGGATGGGACAACTACAGTTGTTCTGCTTGCTGGAGAGTTTCTAAAGGAAGCTAAGCCTTTCATTGAAGATGGAGTCCACCCTCAAAATCTGATTCGTAGTTACCGAACTGCTTGCAACTTGGTAGGTTATCTTCTCCACTCTCTCTCTTAATGTGCCAGGGTTATAGGTTGGCTACCATGTGGTGTGTGTGCGTGTATATATATATATATATATATATATATATATATATATTCCTAATATGTTTTAAGTGATGATAGGCTACTGAGAAAGTAAAAGAATTAGCGATTAGCATAGAGGGAAAGAGCATTGATGAGAAGAAAAGTCTGCTAGGTAAATGTGCTGCTACAACATTGTCGTCAAAACTCATTGGTGGGGAGAAAGAGTTTTTCGCTACCATGGTTGTTGATGCTGTTGTTGCTATTGGAAATGAAGACAGGCTGAATATGATTGGAATAAAGAAGGTATAGAATATATTTTGAGTTGTGCAAGGTTCAGTTAACTCTTGATGTGGCTCTAAAGTGGTTCAATTTGTTTGCTTAACTGGGATGTGCTTTTTTCTGTATACACATTCTGATTGGTGATGTATACAGTATAACCTTGTTTCCTCCCATATGTTTATGTTCACCTGAGTCCATTTCCATGCCCAAATTAATCCCAGTGAATTAATGCTTGAACTTTTTATTTTAAAACTAAACATATAGGTTCCTGGGGGTACTATGCGGGATTCGTTCCTTGTAAACGGTGTTGCGTTCAAGAAAACATTTTCCTATGCTGGTTTTGAACAACAGCCTAAGAAATTTGTAAACCCCAAGATACTTTTACTCAACATTGAGTTGGAGTTGAAATCGGAGAAAGAAAATGCAGAGATAAGGTATGATTACTACACATAGTAAAATTTAAGCTTTTATGCCTGTTTTTAACTTCTTTCACAAGTCACATGATTGAAAATGCTCCATTGATGTATTATTGTGTATAACAGGCTCTCCGATCCATCTCAGTATCAATCAATTGTTGATGCAGAATGGAATATCATTTATGACAAGTTGGATAAATGTGTCAAGAGTGGGGCTAAAGTTGTTTTGTCAAGACTTGCCATTGGTGATCTGGCAACACAGGTTGGTGGATGATTTGTAACTTTCAGTTGTAATTATTTATCAACTTGATTTTCCAAGGAACGGAGCACTTGAAATATTATGCGTTTATACTGTGAGTGTGTTATAATGTCTCACTGTTTGGCTTATTTAATCACAAAGATGTATTGAAGTTATTTTCTTCCATAAAATATGATTCTCTTGCGGGTTAAAATG